ATCATATTATTTATTATTATTTAGTATAGTTATTTTTAGTTAACTTATATTTATTCTAATAATTTATACATACAAATTCTCTATAAATATACTACCTTTTTGCCTTTCTAGCAAAGTAGTCTTGTCTTTATATAATTCTTAATAAAGATATAATACTTAGTATCTTCATATACTATTTATTATTTGCCTCTTAACTCTAATATAAATCACTACAAAAACCTCTTTGTTAAGTTTTAATTCTAGATATCATATAACAAGCTGTAAAGTTATAGTCTTCATACTATAATCAGCAGTCTCTAGGAACTCTAGAAGAAGTAAATTTCCTATTTGACACTATCTAGAGATTGTGTTTTATATATTAGACTTTGGTTAGTTTATAATAATTTTTGATTTTGCAACTTTAATTTAGTATTTTTGATTTTCAAATTTTCAATTTGATTTTACTGATAATTTATAGCAAAACCAAAAGCCTTTTTTTGAAGATATACTGAAATAACTTCATTTTTATGTTTTCTATTTGGATATTACATCAGATCAAATAACTTCAAAGCATTTTCTTTTTGAAATTTAGGCATTTCACAAATAGCTTGAAATATTTTTTCTTCTTTTATACTATTTGTGATATTAATAAATATATTACAAATTTTTGGAAGAAGATTAGGCTCTATTTGATTAATAATTTTGGAAATTTTATGAATTTTATTTTGTTGTGATCATATAATTGCTAAATGGCATTGTTGTTTTTGTAATTTAAGCATTGAATTTATTGGCAAAATAATATTATTATTTAAGCATTGAATTTATTGGCAAAATAATATTATTATTTAAGTAAATATTAAAAATTTAAATAATTAATATTTAAATATGTATAATTTTAAGTGTTTATCTAGCAAGTAAACAGTACACGCGTCTATAAATAAATATTATTATAAAAAAAAACACATATATATATTTATTTATAAAATTACAATATTAAAACTAATACTACGTATACATAATTATAGTAAAATATTAATAATATTTAATAACTTAATTCTTGTTGTAATTGTTTTTTTTTTAAAAAAAAACTTTCTATTACTTTAAAATTTAAAACTTATTAAATAGTTAAGCAAAATTTCTAAACAAGTTAATATGTTAATTGTTGAGAAGATACGATTTGAAATATGGTAATTTTATATAAAAATATTATAATAAATTATTATATTTCAAATCGTATCTCCTCAATAATTTACATATTAACTTATTTAGAAAATTCTCTCAATTGTCCAATAGGCTTTATATTTTGAACTAATAGAGAGCTTTTTTGAAAAAATTAAAAAAATTATAAAATCTTTTATTAAAATATATTTTTTTATATGGATTTTTATATATGTTACGCAAAAATTTGGTTTAATTTTCGGTATAGGACTATACATAAATTTGATCTACATAGTCTACTGGATACCCCAACGTATTGGTTATAAATCTACTAAGACAAGCATTTGTACAAAATCATACTGTTTGACATCAATTATTTTGGTACTAGATTATCAATATTAGCCCATATATCGATATGGAATCCATAATTATGGATAAAATAAAATCCTTATAAAATGCAAGATATCCTTAACATATAAGTACAAGTAATATATCAGTATGATTCCTATTAAGGAAAAAAAACAGGAAATACGTAATATAAAGAACAACACATGTTTGCATCGAAATATATCAATTTCTCTTACATTGTCACCATTAGATTGACATAGCGATGGAGAAGAAAATTTCAAACCTTGACAACACTAAAATGAAAAAGAAAACAAATGAATTAAAAAATCTACCTAGCAAGCTTTTTGAATCTCGAAAAATTACATTCAGTATTAGCGTTAGTCCTATTAAGATCTTATCGTTATTCATACTACTTATATCTATAACACTTTCATGGGAAAAATTTAGGCAGCAAGCCATTTGTAAAGTATTATTAACAAATGAAAATGATAACAAAATCCAGTGGACATTCTCCTTACCTAATTACTCAAACTCTGAAAGTTATCTCTCGCTAGACAACGGTGCGTTCGTTTACCGTCACATATTTATGGATGAGTTTGAAAAGGAATTTAATGT